GGGGGGGGGGGTGTGCTTGACTTGGTGCCAGTGCTGGGTGGTCACGTCAGGTCTGTGGCTCTCTACAGAATATTAGGGCAGGATGGTTCAGGTGTTAAAGAAGGACCGGAACTTTCTGAATGTGTGCAGATCACTAATCCTGCATTAAAAAAACAGTTGTTCACTCAGGATCCTGTAACACTGGTGGAGGTCTTAGGTCTTTAGTTCAATAGAATGGTGCACGGATGATGTGATGCTAACTCCCGGGCTCGACAAAAAGCAAAGGGCTTTTTCCATTGCTGTTGGGAAAATTGCAGAAAATAAGATCTGTCGCTGACACACGTTTGTAATGCTTGCACGTTTTTGTTCAGCAGGACCATCTCCACATATTAACAATATTTTTTAGGATTTTTGAATCATAAATGCAATTGCTTTGAGTGAAAGGCTATCGTTAGGCTCTAATCAAACGACCTCACAGTAACATGGCTGCGCATCACCGCTAAGCTAAAGGCAAATGTTTGGGGTGATGATGTTTAGTAGTCTCTTTTAGTCACTTGTCAGCAACCGTCATTTTCCAGACGCATAGAAGCTTCAAACATTCGGCAGTGGAGTATATACTGATGTATTTCATGTTGCAGAATACATCTCTTCAGATTGTCCTACCCAAAGACCTTATTTCAGGCATTTCACCACAAATAGTAACTGACTTGGAGACAAAGGAACAGGAAGTGGTCAAATGCAAACTTTCTGGGTTTTAGGACTAATTCCTGCACCACTCTACGTGTGTAATGCAATTGCTGAAACACATCATTTGAAAATGTAACACCACAGTTAAAGTGCAGCACTTTGTGATTGCAGTGGATCAGAGCTGACTCTGGTGGACCATTATGCCACTATGGAGCTGCCCCAGTATGTTGATTTAAATATATTTTTTTATTTGTGTTACCTTTTGCACCTTTGCTGCGACGGCCGGCTGCTCTTGTTGGGCTTGGACTATCTGCAGAGATACAAAATATTGTAATTAATTAAAATGCTAGAATTACACACTCTAACCGCTAATCATAAACCTAAACCACACTGTCTAAGTGACATTTTCATGATGCTAAGCCCAGGGTTTCTTTCTGAAACACATATAGAAGTTGGGGATAGATTTATATGATTTGGTTGAACAGAAGGGTGACAGGGAATCTAAATGATGTTACACTGCCATCTTGTGGTGAAACACCAGCAGTGTATTGAAAGGGGAAAAAACATTTCCATTAAAACAAGTGCGTAGCTCTCTCTCCTGGTAAAGTACATTCAACAATACAATGTCTTCAATCAATCAAATAAATAATATAATGTGTTCATTTATATAATCCAGCCCGATCATCCAAAGAAGGGTATGATATCTTTTTCAACAATCTTCAATCTTTTCATTTTTAAACATTCGACCGCTTACTTACTTCTTGCAGTAAATATCCACTGCGGGTAAATAAAATGCTCTCTTGGTATTAAATGTTTTAGAAATGGCCATATTCAACTATACCTGATTATCTCCAAGTCTTGGTTTACAAACTCTTTGTTTGGTTCAGATCTTCCAAATCCCACCATTATCATTGGAATATATTTTGCAATGTTAATGGTGTTTGAACAGTGGTCATTCCCTCTCATATGACGCATCATATCCCAATTTTTTTTTTTTTTTTTTTTTTTAAATGGGCACAGCCTGTAATTATTCCAATTGAAGTTGTTGCATTCATACACAGAGAACCTGGAGAACCCTTCAGTGTGATGAAGTGCAGGCAGTGTTCACCTTGGCTCTGCTCCTGAGTTCCCCCACATCCTTCACTTTGGACTTGTAGAGCATCCAGCGGTAGCGCAGCTCCTCCAGACCCACATCCTCAGCTGGTCCAGGACCAGCCGCAGCACTCTGACTCTCCTGCAGCAGCAGCAGCTGGAAGTGCTCCTGACCCCTGGACAGTTCTGCTCTCAGAGCCTGCAGAGGACACACGGAGTGTTAGCCACGCTACACCAGCAAACATCTGAACTCAAGGCAACACATCTTTACAACAAGGGTAAATGTGAAAGTGCTTTCGGCTCTATGTGAGGCTACTTCTTATATATGAACACGTGGTACATCCAGCAACAGGGTAAACCTGGTGAACTGATGGTAGGTGCGTTAAATACCCAGTGGTGTAAAGATTTACTCAAGTGCAGTAATTAAGTACAATTTTCAGGTACTTTACTTGAGTATTTCAATTTTTTGCTGCTTAGTACTTCTACCCCTCTACAATTCAGAGGTACATGGTGTACTTTTCCTCCACTACATGTATTGAATACCTTTAGTTATTTTACAGATGTGGATGAATGATGTGAAATATAATCAAGTGTTAAATCAGAATTTAGTTCCACCTGGAGTAAATCCACAAGCTACCCTGCAGTATACAAAGTCATTCAAACTAGCTGCACCTTTACCAGCTTTGAGAACACTTTAAAGATCAATCATTATAAAACATATCATATCTATTATTCTGAAATGGACCAATCTGCACAACGACTACTTTTACTTTCGCTACTTTCACTATATTTTGATGATAATACTTTTCAAATTTTACTTGAGTAACATTGACTTCATTTCACCTGAATTAGAGTGGGTTAGAAATAAAAAGTAGCAAAACATTTAAATACTCATGTAAAGTACAAGTACCTCAAAATTGTACTTAGTTACTTTACACATTAATAACATTTATTAAAGTAACAACCAGCAGAATTTAGACATTATCAACATGTATAAAGTCAAGCTTTAGCATAATAAGAGCCTCACTCTGAGCGTGTCCTGTCTGGTCTTCAGCTCCTTGGTGCTGAGTACTGCTGCCTTGCTGCTGGAGAGCCCTGAGAGGAGAGCATTCTGATTGGACAGCCAGGCCTCAAACTCCCTCCTCCTGGACTGGTACTGCCCTCCGCCTCCCTATAAACCCAGACACACCTCATGAAACTCTTGCACCGAGCCCCCATCAACAGGTAGGCGTTATTCTGTGCCTGATTGTGTTTGGAGAGGCAGGACTGTTAAGAAATCCATCATGGGGGATTGTCTCAGCAATGACCTGTCACCACATTTCTAGTCTTCTTTGTTTTCCCTCCCATATTATGTAATTTCATTTTCAATTCTTCTGCTAGATAAATGCAATATGTGTGATAGCCATTCAGAGCGTATTCCTACACATATCCTGGACACTCGTCACCTCCGCAGTGCTTTACTGAAAAGTGGCAGACATTTAGATTTAGACTTGGATGTGTCTTGAGAGTAGTCCTTGTGATCAAAACGTGCATTTTTTAAATATAATTTTTTTTCTTTCTAAATCTAATCATCGGGGGAATTGATTTCCTGCGCCATGGAGAAAAAGCAAATGAGGAGCCATTCTGCAAAGATACAGTAATAAATCATAAACTGCAGCAAACAGCTGCATAACTGAAATGAATAGTAAGCTTTGGATTCCTTCCCTCCTCTTGACTGATTCTACATCGTTTAGATTGCCGTCTAAAGTCTTGTTTGCTTGTGATGCCTAATTGTCCAAATGATCACGTATCTGTCTGCTTGAAAACTGGATGGATTAGCTGCAGTCAGAGGAGGCAGAGCTTCACCAATTATTTGTTATAGACAGAATCAACTAAATTGCAGAGCTCTGCTACATAAACGTAGGAGAGGTGAGGCCGCACCCCCCTCTGCTGGATACTTAATGCAGCACGGGCAATAAGTCACTATCCGTTATTGTCACAAACTTCTTCAATACATGGTAACTTATTGTAAACAAGTGTCTGTCTCACTGAGGGGGCGTGTCTTTAGAACAAGTAATTGATGCTTGAACTCCGTCCAGGTTAGCTAGCTCTATAACTCCCTTTTTTCTCTCTCTAAGATCCTGTTTGGGCCAGATCTCCCCCACTGGAGATGTAGTAGTGAAAGGGGGAGATATAGGAGATGTCATACTTGCAGAAATGTCCCGCGGGCTCAGGAGTAGCAGCGGACCCTTCATATGGGCCACCAGCTCTAACCACTGAACTATCTGGCTGCACCTGTAAAACTTTTTTGACCTGGAAGATTTCTCAAAATAGATTTTTTTATCAAAACAGGAAGTGATGAACAACGGAAGGCTTGAGCTGAAGAATTATAAAATAACACGTTGTTTCATATTGAATGGTAAAAAAGCTGACATGGAACATGCAACGTGCGGTGGCCTAACCAATACTCTAGTCTTGATGTTAGCTCCCAATGAAGGTTGAATTTAAGCTAGCTTGATGGGGTTTCTATGTGTGTAGATCTGGCCGTGACACTAGCCAGTGCCCCCCATCCATTCCCCTGCCTCTCAGTTTGAGTAGTGCCCTGGTCTGAGTGTCTCTTGGCTTCTGTTGTAAACTAGTGAACTTTCCAAGCTGTGTTTAAATAAAGGCAAAAGAGTGGCTTCAACATTGCTGACCTTTATGGTTAAAGCTGCCCCCCCTCTGTCTGCGGCCCCTGCTGATCTCTCACTGCCGGTGCTTCCATCAGGGGGGGGGTCTGTGGAGCCTTTCTGCCCTGCTCTGCTGTAAATGCTCCAGGCAGAAGAGTCCACGGTGTCCCCCAGGTCTCCTCTGTCTTCTCCTGTCCTGGGTGACTTAAGAAGTGTGCTGTCTTGTGCAGACAGGATGAGATGACCTTCACTGTGATGGCTCTGGATCAGCCCCCCCTCCACTGCTCCCCCCCGCCCTCCTGTCTCTCCCTCCAGGTGTACTCCTCTTCCAGACCCAAAGCTAGCCATGGCTCCCCCCCCCACTCTGAGCGGTGATGTGAGGGAGGGGTCTGCAGACGGACCTCCAACACTCCAAGAGGCAGAGTCTGTCTGTTGACTGGAGCTGTTCAGCAAGGGGGGGGGGGAGAGACGTTATTTCATGACTGAGGGAAGTTGTTATTGCAGCATCAACTGGAAACTAAAATGGAGATGCTGGATCACTGCACCTGATTTGAACACTGAGGGGTTCATTAAAAGGCTTGGCCAAGGGAACACAGAAAGTCTTTCACTGTACATTCAACATGTCCTGTCCAAATTCTCCCAGAGAACAGAAACAGGTGATATTGAAGACACAAGAATATGAAACGCCGGGTGAAAATGTCAAATATGTGAACTTTATGTGGTTTGTTTTGTTTTCTTTGTAATGCGTTTACAATTTAAAAGTAAAGAATAAAAAGAATGTCAAATGCCTAAAATTATTCTAAAGTTGTCCTTTTTTAAATAATAATAATAATAAATGTTAGATATTTATTTCATAATGCTCTTTTACAGGTGCTCAAAAACACTGCAGTGATAACAAATTCATTCATTTGAATCAAGCTAGAACAATTAACACCAGGTCAATTGTCGCACATTAAAGCCAGTCTAAAAATGTGAGTTTTACTGTTTGATGAGAGCCTAACTAAGCCTCGCCGCTTTAGTTAGTGAGAGTTTTAGTCGGTACAGAACTGTGGAGCGTATTAGTATCATGCTGAATCAATGAATTAAGATGAATTTTTGTGAGTGCATTTAATTGGTGAGGTGTTGAACGTGCGTGTATTAACAGTGTCACAGAAAAACTAACGCCATATTTTGCAAAACAAAACATATTTTAGTATGCAAGTGTCTGCTAATCAGGTACCTGTGTAGATTGAGGCTCATATTGCGCAGGGCCAGCCAGGACTCCCCTTGGCGCTTGATGTCCCGCAGGATGTGGACCCGCCCTTCCTCTGACGTCCTCTCCAGGACCCCCTGAGCCTGGATCTCCATTTGCTGCAGCTGGAGCTCCTTCTCCGGGAACTCTCCCAGCGCTCTCTGTGACACATGAAGGACTTTAGTAAATACGTTGTTTTATCAGGTTTAAAACAGTACAAACAAGTTTTGGTAATTTAGGGTAATTAGGGTCCCATCCCTTCTGAGTTTGTAGGTTTTTATAAAATTGTCTTATCTCTTTCCTCAATGCTCTCCTTGCCTGTATATGTTCCTCTCCTTGCTTCCTTAACTCCTGTCCTCTTCATCCATTGTAGTAAACAAACACTTTAATGAAGGTATTTCCTCAAATAACTGCCCATCTAGCACATATTTCACAATAAAAACCTTGTAGAAAATAAAGGGATTATATCCACTGACATGGCCGACTACATCTCAGTGTTGAAGGGCTGATTTTGATTCCTGTGGGAGTTCAGGCCTTCCTTTAGCTAAGGCTTTAACAACACTTGACTTTCTGTGGGTGTCATGTCCAGCTTTTCTTGGGCACATCTGTATTCCTCCACTACTCAGATAAGTAGTGACAGGGCTGCCATCCCATGCCGCTTTCTTTTAATTTTCCTTAGCCGGGGGGGTTCAGAAAGTGACCACGTAGATGGTAATTGTCCACTTGAGACAGGGCAGCAGACCAATTTGAAAGCAGGAGAGCTTGTGTTTCCTGGGGGGGCGTGCTGTGGATTTGCTGGAGGCGGCTGGTTTGATCCAGTCGGTGCCGCTCCATCTGCTGGGTGAACCTGGGGGCTTCGCATACACTTCTCCACGACCAGGTATTGTTGGAGGAGTCGGAGTAATGCAAAGGTGAAGGATATCAACCAGTGTGATAATGAACATCGTAAGGATAAAACATTCACTTAGGATTACCATTAAGAATGCTGGGGCCAACTCTTAAGATCACTACTGGTTAACAGAACAATACATCAGTCAATGATATGAAACTGATGACTTTATCCATCGTAACAACACCTGCAGGTCTGGATTTTCTCACTACAAATCAAAACAAAAAGTTCACAAGGCTCTCATGAACAAAGAAACCTATGTGCTAACTAAAGAGAGCTAGAACTAGAATACAACTGTCTCAATTCAGATGATTTACTCAGCGCAGTACCATGTTGTGCACTGTAAACCCTTATGCAGTGTGTGAATACTTAACTACTCAAACCAGCAAATGTAAGGGCAGAAGTGCACGATTTGAGACACAGCATAGAGTTAGAATAATGTATTGTTTTCATATGCTAACCGATTCAACACACGTCTTCGGAGCAGGGATGTATATTCCTCATTTATGTTAGCCCCAGGAAGATTGTTTTACCAGGAGAAATTGCAGACATGTGTAATGGAATAATAAGTATTGCATTTGTGTGTATAATCTGAACATTTCGTTTTTCTTTTCTTTAATGAATATTATAAAAAAATGCAGCTGTTTATTATATATTTGTGTCAATCCTTATTTAATAGCTTCAACGTCGTGTGTCCCAGAGACTCATAATCAAGGTAGAACAAACCTCTTTCTTTATAAGATTTAGTTGCTTTCCTATTTCAAATAGAGTTATTAAAATTCAGCGGTTTTCATTAAAGGTCCCATGTCATGCTTTTCCGGTTATTACCCGTCCCCTTGTGTGTTATGAACGTTTTTATTAATGTAAACGGTCTGCAGAGTCACAAACCCTCAAAGTACACCCTGTAGCGAGTAAAACTCTAACACAGAGAAGACCTGTCCATGCTGCCCCAGAACGCCTCGTTGGAGAGTTCTCTTTTTCTTCCTGGGTGCAGTGACGTTCCCATTGGTCCAAATGGACCAATCCGTGGAGCCATTACGTTATGTCCGCGGAGCCGTTAGGTTAAGTCCGCGGATTGGTCAATTTGGACACAAACTAGTCCACTGCTCCTAACACTAGGATGGGACACACAGTCACACACACACTCAATCTTTTGAGACGGCGGGACGCGGCGAGGCTGTGAGTCAGTGTGTGAGCACACACACAAACTCCCAGCCAGGCTGCGGGTGTGTGTGTGTTTGGGCTGGTTTCGGGCTGGGTTTCGCTGTGTCTCACTGTCTCACAGACGGCCACTGGGCTCACAGGGAGGGGGGGGGGCAGGAGCTCCAACAAGGTGTGTAGGACAGAGAGTGAATACACATACTGAGATGCTGTATGAGAAACCAATGTGAGTTTGGAAAATTGCACAATGTAAATCTATTTTAGTAGACCTCAACAATGGAATTATGATCAGTAGAAACGGCCATGACATGGCACCTTTAAGTGACCCATAATCAATACTGCATTGTTTTCAAAGAATGGAAAAGAAGGTCACGCCTCTTTTAAAAAAAGAAAAAAAAGAAATGGGATTTAGGCTATTTTTCTATTTGAAACAAAAAGTGTTATTCATTCAGAGAGGTGTTTTACACACACACACACACACACACACACACACACACA